CTTTCTTTATTCTGTATGTTTGGGGTTTTGATTATTATGTGGCGAGGGGAATTTTTTTGTGGTCCACTCTATTTGGTGTTCTGTAGGCTTCTTGTACCTTCATTGGCATGTCTTTCTTAAGGTTGGGAACGTTTTCTTCTATGATTTTGTTGAATATGCCTTCTGCCTCTTTGAGGTGGATTTCTTCTCCTTCTTCTATACCTATTATTCTTAGGTTTGGTCTTTTCATGGTGTCCCATATTTCCTGGATGTTTTGCGTTAAGGATTTGTTGGATTTAAGGTTTTCTTTGGTTGTTAAATCCATTTCTCCTAGTGTTCTCATCGGATCTTTCTCTTAGACAAAAATACTATAGGCAACTAATGGCAGCCAAGAGAGCAAAAATTAGTCTTTCCTAAGGATGAGCTTCCTAATTGGTTATTCAATGCAAAGTGGTCAGCCCTTAAATCATAAACACACAAATGACAAAAGTGGACTTTGTGGGTTTTATTTACATACTTGTACATGTATATGTAACAACAATAGTGAAAGAAAAAGAGTATATCAATTTGAGAGTGGGGGCATGGGCAGAGTTTGAAAGGAGTGGATATTGGAGGATCTGGAGGGGGACAAAAGAAGGGGGAAATGATGTAATTATATTTTTGTTAAAATATTAAATTCTCAAAAATAAAGTATATTAAAAAGACCTTTCAAATAGTGAAATAGGGATATTGATAGAAAATTGTAAACTAAAAGTATATTGATAATTTTTAGGAAGATCATTAAATATTCTTGGGTCAGCAGATTTTAGACATGTAATCAAAAATATAAAGCAATGTAGATTACATTACAATAATATCATGATATTCATCAAATTGTTGGGCTTACTAACTTCACATTACCACATTACCAAATAAAATAGTCTTTAGAATGGCATAGGATACCAGTTCTAGTGGCACCGTGAAGGACAAAATACTTTTTAAAGGATACGGCTTTACTTGATTCAGATATTCCAAAGGGAATTTGTCACTTTTAAGACTATAAAATTCCTGCCCTACTCAGTGGATTGAATCAGTAGTCTTAATTCTTTAGTGTTTAATTTTTGAGTTGGCAATAAATTTGTTTAGGTAAACAGGAAGTAAAGGGGCTTAAAATATTCTATCACAGAATATTCTACAATGGCATGGAATTATTTTGATTAGAAGGCAATTACGAATCAACAGTTAGAGGGAAAATTGTGTTCAGAATATATTGTATGAAAAATTTATTTCTAATAAAAAGAAAAAAAAGAATAAATAGTTCCAGGAAAAGTTCTTTGCCATTTCCTTAGCTGTTTAAAATTTTGCGTCAAAATTTTCTCTGTGAGGGTGTTGTAAAATCCAGCTCCCTACCTATGACTCACTTCTTCAATGGTGTTTCTTTTTTTGCAGCAGATGGAAGCTTTTCCAGAGAACCACATCTGATCAAAGTACAGAGAATAAGTGACTGCGGGATATCTATATGGCACTTACTTCTGGAGTTAGACGGCCCGTACTGAGATGAGTCACTATAAACAAACTTTACTAATTAACCCTTCTCCTTATTTGTTTCCCTCATCTATTTCCTAGGCATGCTCTTACAATTTACTGGAGCCCAATTCCTCTTTTCCTTGTCTTATCGCTTCTTCGTAATTTATTGCCTTTTACCTAATTGCTGCATGAGCTTCTGCATCAATTACTTTTTTGATTTTCACTTATTTTCTATGAAGTTCTTGTGTACTTAAAACTAAAAATTAACAAAATCTGTTTGTTTTTTTCTTTCTTATCGGTCTATTGTCAGTTTAATTTGTAGTTCCCAACACTGAATAAAATAGGATAGAGGAATTTCCCCAACCTAGAGGTGGTAATGAAAATGATACAAGAAAATCTTTAAAATGTGTTCATCTTATTTGTTTTGCTGCCTTTGAATTCCACTTCTCAGCATGAGAAGAACGTGTTTCAGGCAGGAAGGGCAGAGCCATGTGGAACAGAGTTGGAGCTAGTTTATAGCTATGAATAGAGATCTGAACCCAGCTTCTATCAGTGAAATGTGGCTACCTTGTAGATATTGGAGTTATAAACAATACTGTTGAGTGTCTTTGAATTTATGTAGGTGATTCTTTTAGAGCACTATTGTGGCCATGGCTACCTGATAGTATTATGTCTGAAGCACAAGTGGACAAAGTGCTTGCTGAGCAACTGTGATGACCTGAGTTTAGATCCTAAGAGCCCAAATAAAAATCATGTGTGGTTGATGCATTTGTAACCTCAGGGTTAGAGGGGTGGACACAGGAAGATCTGGGCAGAATCGTTGGCAAGCCATCTTAGCCAAAATAAAGAAAATAAGATTATTTGAGAAATCTGTCACAAAAAGTAAGATGTAAACAATAGATGAGGATATCTGACGTCAGTTGCTAGACCCAAAAACACGCACAATTGTGTATACAAATAAACGCAACACACACACACACACACACACACACACACACACACACCGTATTTATCACAGCAATAATCCAACAAACTGATCTTACCAGATAGATTGCTATAGTTGAACTTCTTGACTTCATCATTTCCAGGCTTCCAAGGTGGTCATGAGAAAACTTTTTATCTTTTGGTAAAAGAGAACATTAATGATTTTTAAAGCAACAGTGTTTCAAATGACACATCTTTATTAGGGGTTTTACTTTTTCAGGGAGTGATCGTCATCAGCTACACATGGGCAGCTATTTTTTCAAAGGATTGATCAAATACACTTGTGAGTGGTTCACAGTGTGCTAGATTCACAGCTTTTTAGACGTCAGGAGCTTTTTGCTCCTCAAGAGCTCATCTTGATTACTTAAGAGTTGTGGTTCTCCACTTTTTGTGTGAAAGAAACTGTTTCTGAGTAGAGTACAAAATAAAAGAAGAAAATGTATCTTATTTCCTTTGATTCTTTAGGACGGGTTTGAACAACAAATTCCAGTCTTGATAAAAGAAGAAAAGATATTTTGTTCATCTATATCAAATTCATGAGGAGTTGCAGTAGTGAATGTTCAATCTCCCAAGCAAAGGAAGAGCTGCATCTGTTACTGGCAGGACATTGAATGGCGCAGATACATGGAGCTTTGGTTTGCCAAATAATTCTGCTTAACTGATCATTTTCCAGTGCATTATGTGGAGATGATGAATCTCACTGTTGTATCAACACTTCTATAATGCTGCTCTAAGACATTTAGACTCATTCAAACAATATTACACATACCGTATCAATTTTGAAAACTGCAGGGAAACCTACTATTTTATAAGCTCTCTTAACAAATGTAGTTTAATTGGAGTCATTCCACGGGGAGGGGAATAATGCTACTCACTTGAAGGCATAGCCTATCAAACAAAAGCCCAGTGCCAGGAAAGGGACATCTCCCTTCAAGTTGTTCATCAGGGAAATCCAAGAAACCCCCACCCCAAATACTAATACACTATTGTTATTGCTCTTGGTGACCTGCCAGAAATTGAGGTTAAGATGATATTGTGGAGGATACACATTGGTTATAGGAGTTCGAGAAATCAAGCTGAGACTGACCTGAAAGCCTCCCTGATAATGGCTAGCTTTCAGAATGTTGGATAGTGCTATGTAAACTGTCCATCCATGGAATAGCTACACTAACATCTTGGGGATAACAAGTACCTGTTTGATTATACTCAGATTCCATTAGATAGGAGGGAGCACATGCCTTGATATTCTTGGTACTGGGTCGCCAAGGACCCATAGCTGGAGGGATCAAAGACCCTAGTGGAAAACCTAGTACTACCATTTTGCTAAATTGATATGGCATCTAACTCTTTTATAAATACTTATTCTTGTATGCAGAGATGAGGGAAGACATCTCCCTCATAAAAGAAGCTTCCTTTAGCAACATATGAAAGCTATTACTGAGGATCACAACTGGTCAAAGTGGAGAGAATAAGTAACTGAGGAGTTCCCAGCCCCAAATACGAAATCTGTAACATGGTTCTTACACCCAAGACTGAGAAGACATTATGGAAGTGGGCTAGAAAGATTCTAAGAGTCAGAGGACTGGAAGAACTGCAAGTACTGCCAACAAAGTACTGTCTTCTGGGCACGACAGGGCTTTTGTGCCCATGGACTCTCCAAGTTATGATTGCTTGCATAAAACCTGCAACACTACACCAATCAACATTCTAGCATGGGTGAAGGAAAGCTTTACAAGGCCTCACACCTAGCTGAATAGCTGCAAGCAGTCAACAGTTGATGCAGGATAGTCAGGATAGTCTGTTTTCTTTAGGGGAAAGCACCCTGTTAGGTTTCCAAGCCCAAGTGGTCAGCTCTACCCCTGTGTCTGTGGAGGCACTTGTAATATGTAAATTTACATTAAAGAACTAGGCAAAGGACATGAATTTCTCAAAATACAGTCTCAAATATTGGTTAAAAAGTTTCAATGTATTTTATTAACAAATTTATTACATAGAATAATGTGTTTCCTTATGACTTTACACATGTACATAATATATTTTAATCCTATTCATCCTCCACACCTTACCCTCTTTTGTTCCCTTCCCTCCACTGCTGCTAATCTTCCCAAAATGGAGCACCCTCTACTTTCATGTCCATTTGTCTTTTATTTTGTGGATTATGTTATAATTACATCATTTCTCCCATCCTCTCAAACCCTACCATATATCCCTTCTTACTCTCTTTCAAAATCATGGCCTCTTGATTCATTTATTATTGTTACATGGAAACCTGTATATGTATATACAGATGTTTCTAAGTATAACTTATTCAGCCTGTATAATATTATTTGCTGTACTGGATAGTTTTATGTCAGCTTGACACAAATTAGAGTCATCTGAGAAGAGGGAGCCTCAATTGAGAAATGCTTCCATAAGATTTAACTGTGGAGCCTAAGAACTGTGAGTGAAATGAAGTCTTTATGCTCCAAGTTGCTTTTGGTCATGGTGTTTCATCACAGCAGTAGTAACCCTAATTAAGACAAGTTGGTACCTGGATAGTGGGGTATTGCTGGGACAGACATGATCACGTTGTTTGACTTTAAAACTTTGAGTTAGAAAAGCCATTGAGTGTTGAGGGCTCAGTGGTATGTTCTATAGGAGCCTGGAAATGAAGAATGTTGAGAGCAGAGCAGATGATGGAGGCCTGCCTTGTGAAGTTTCAGAGGGAGGTTTACAGACTCTATTGGGGCCATTTGTTATTTTGAATTAAGATTTTGTGGTTTTGATTAGCTAAGACTGAAGAATCAGCTGCGATTAACAAGATACCAGAACTACTAAAGAGAAAACTTTGCTTTGCCGGGATACTTGATGCTGGTCAGCTGGAGCTAAGAAATTAGCAGTAATTAAGAAGAGACCAGCATCACTGAGGTGAAATTTTCTGGGAAGTGTTTCCTGAGAGTTAACACATAGAAGCTGTGTTCCAGAAACGTGCAAGGTTTTACTGACAGCTGAACTTGGTAGTGTAAGCGTCTCCTAGGTGGTTCTGGCTTCGAAAGCATGAAGGAGTCATGGAGAGCATCTGAGGTTTGGCACTATGTGACAGGGTTGGAGTCCCCAAAGAGAGCCTAAGAGGTGCTATTGGTGAAAGCGTGCCCAAGTTGAAGCAGAAAACCCTGGCATTTTGGAGATGCTAGTGGCATGGGATGATTGCCAAGAACAGCAGCAGCAGTGGAGTGGAGCTAGCTGAAGCCTTGAAAACAAGCTGTGTGTGCTACAGGGTGAGAAGCTGGAGAAGTGACCTAACTCCCAGAAGACCATGATGAATCCCAGACAGTTGAACAGTGAGTTATTTACACTGTTGGGGTTTGGTTTTGCTTGGTTCAGATTATGACTGTGCCCTGTTTTTTTCCTTCTTGAAGAAAGTATTTAAATTAATATTTATTTTTACAGGTTAAAACCACTTAAAGGCAGCTTAAAGACTGTGAACTTTTGAAAGAAATTTTGGACTTTTAAATAGATTGGGTATATTTTTAAAAAGTTTCTCTCTCTCTCTCTCTCTCTCTCTCTCTCTCTCTCTCTTTCTCTCTCGGTTTTTTGAGACGGAGTTTCTCTGTATTGCTTTGGAGCCTGTCCTGGAACTCACTCTTTAGACTAGGCTGGTCTCGAACTCACAGAGATCCGCTTGCCTCTGCCTCCTCAGTGTTGGCATTAAAGGCGTGTGTCACCAATGCCTGGTTCTAGATAGAATATTTTAAAGATTCTGAATATTTAATGTTTTTTTAATTTAATTTGTAGGGACTGTGGGACTTCTATAGTTATTTATGTTTTATATTATGATACCATCTTAGGGATAAATGAGAAAGGAAAGGTTATAATTGAAAAGTGATGTGTTTGTGTGTCCAGTTGACAAGGGGTCAGTTATTCTGGCTAGTTTTATGCCAATTTGACACAACTTAGAGTCATTAGAGAGGAGGGAACCTCAGTTGAGAAAACACTTCCATACAATGGGTCTGTAGGCAAGCCTGTAGGGTATTTTCTTAAGTAGTTTCTAATGGAGGAAGGCCCAGCCCACTGCGGGTGGTGCCATTCCTGAGATGGTAGTCCTGGGTTCTGTAAGTGAACAGTCTGAGCAAGCCTTGGAGAGGAAGTAAGCAGCTCTCCTCTATGGGTCTCTGCATCAGCTTCTGCCTCCAGGTTCCTGCCTTCACTGCTTTTGATGACTGAACTGTGAGTGAGATAAACCCTTTCTTGTTTTTGGTCATGGTGTTTTATCACATCAGTAGAAGCCCAAACTAAGACATCTGTATATATGTTTTCTTGGCTGACCATTTGGGATTGGATAACCAGTTAGTGTGCTTTTCCCTGGGGAAGACCATTTCTCCCATTCTCAGCATTCTTTAGTTACCTGTGGTTCTCTGTGTAGGGTTGAGGCCTTGTGGTCTTTTCCTCCCATGGACTTCACGTTGGTGAGACTTTCTGAATGTAGTTTCTCTCATTACTACAAAATACAACCTCACAGCAAACTCCCTGATCTGCTGGCTTTTACAATTTTCCACCCCTCTTCTGTAATGTTTCCTGAGCTTCAGGTGTGGGGAAATTTTGTACATGTGTCCATTGAGACTAGGCTCCATAGCTCTACAGTTTGATTGGTTGTGGTCTTCTGTAGTGATCTCTGTCTGTTGCCAAGAAACATTTCATTGGTGAGGGGAAAATACTAAATGTATTTGTGGGTGTAAGGAGAAATGTTTAGATAATTAGAAATTGTGCTGTTTTTGTAAAGTGGTTGTAGTTTCTTCAAGATCCATGACTTCACTAGTACTGAGTAATTGGCTAGGTTTCCAGTAGTAGGCATGGCTTCCCTCTTGTTGAGCAGGTTTTAAATTAAATTAGAGAGCTGTTGGTTACTGCCACGGTATGTGTGTCACTATTATAACCTTAGGATCATTGTGCCATGCTGGTTTGTTGATATGGTTCATAGACATCATAGTTGGGTAGGACTCTTTGTTGTCTCCCTCCTCTGGGAGCTTGCATGGTACCTTCTGCCACCATAAAAACTAGTCCTCAGGGAAGAGGCATTAAAGTCAGTTCCAGCTCAGGGGCTTCTTAGCCCTGTGTCTGAAAGGCATAGTATTTTAAGCAATAGGAACTTACTTTCTACCTCTGCGGGGGTCGAGGTGGGGTGGGTGAGGTGGAGGGGAAGGGCAATGAAGAGCAAGAGCAATAGCAATAGTCCATATATCTTGGGAATCTCTTGGATAACCCTGACCAATACCTCAAAAGAGGGCTTCTCATGCCTGGTGTTGGGAGTTTTGATCTTGGCTCTTGGAGGGAAAATTGTCAGCCCATATGAGAAAATTTCACATCTACCCATCCCCCACACACATACAGACAGACAGACAGACACACACACATATTCATAGACTTATGTGTATTATAGTTTTTAGGTAAATAGTTAATAGTATGACTCCTTATGATTTTTCCCTGATATCCTATTATTTTACCCTCTTCCCTTCTTCTGTATTTGTCTCCATCTCCCTCCCTAATTAGAGCCCCCTTCCCATTTTCATCATAGATCATTTTAGTCTACCATCCCCCTCTCTACCATCCCCTACCCCACCACAACAATGATTCCTTTTTATTTTGTGGTTTGTGCAGCTTCTCCAACATATGTACTCACATCTGAAGATAATGAGAGAGACTGTACGATTTTTAAAACTAAAAATTACATTAAAAACTTGGCAAAGGACCTCAGTTTCTCATACTACTTCTTGATTATTGGCTAAGATTTTTTGTTTTTGTTTTTTTGAGACAGCGTTTCTCTGTGGAACTCGATTTGTAGACCAGGCTAGCCTCAAACTCACAGAGATCCGACTGCTTTTGCTTCTGGAGTGCTGAGATTAAAGGCCTGTGCAACCACCACCCAGCAATTATGGCTAAGATTTTTAAAATCGATTATTTTATATGTATGGGGTATTTTGCATTGGATCCCCTGGCACTGGAGATACACATGTTAGTGCTGGGAATTGCACCTGGATTCTCTGGAAGGGCAGCTAGTGTTCTTAACTTTTGAACCATCTCTACAGCTTCTATTTATTAGATTTTATTATCTTATTTTAGAAACAGTATGCATATATATGTATATATGAGTTTGACAGAAAAATCTATATGAAAATGTCAACAGTGACTATGCTTGTGTTTTGAATTACACTTGCTATGATCTAAACACTTTGGAGACAGCTGAATCTTAAAGAAGTGAAGACCTATGGGTCAGTATATTATGCTTACATGACACTTTGCCTCATAAGTATATGGTTGGTGGTATCTTAGTTTATTCTCCCATGTTTTGATAAAATATCTCAATAAAGCAACTTAAGAGGGAAAGAGTTTATTTCAGTTTGCAGTTAAAAATTATATAATTATTATAATATTCATATGTTCATCATTCCTGTGTCTCTGTGTGTATGTGTTTCTCATGCTTCTTCATTTTTGTTGTTTTATTTTAGTCTGGTGTATTTTTTTTCTATTTGCCTATTTGTTTTCTAAAGTCAGAGAAAGAAGTTGTGGAGTTGGATGGGTGAGGACATAGGAAGAATCTGGGAGGAGATGAGGGAGAGAAAACCTTGATCAAAATATATTGTGAAAAACAGCTATTTTCAATAGAAACTAAAAAAGATAGTCCATTGTGGTGGGGAAATCAAGGCAACAAGGACATGAAGCAACTGCTCACATCACACGTACAATCAGGAAGCAAGGAGGCATGAATGTGTGCTGTTTCATAAGTTCCTTTGCTCCACTTACATAGACCAAGAACCCAGCCAGAGAATGATTCTACTCACATTTGGTGACTCCCAACATTATTAAAATAAAGCCACACAAGCATGACCATAGGCTAAGCTAACATAGATAGTACCTCACAGGTGTGCTTGGGGGAAGCTTGTCTCCTAGGTGACCCTAGAGCCTCTTGAGTTGAGAATTAACAGTAAATGTAACAATAGGTTTGTGAGGTGGGGTATAGCGTATGTCATATAAGGGTGTTTTTCTCCTATTTATTCCATGTAATAATGAATGGCAAAAGTTGAATCTTGGGAGGCCAAAGTGATAGAAAATGTGAGAGAAAGATGGGATATAAATGACAAAAATATTGCTTATATTTGCTTGTTCAACCAGTACTAACAGTCTCATTACAAGTTTAGTAGCATGATTGATGCTTGAGTTCTTATTAAGGACATGCTTATCAGTTTGAATCAAAGCACAAGCACATGACAAAATGAATTCTGTAGTGCCCTGGTTTATGTTTCATGGCACTCATTTCTCTGAAGAATTTTTAAAATAATATTTTACTGAAAATAGATTTTCCCTACAATATATTCTAATTATGTTTTGCTCTCCCCTGACTCCTCCCTGTTTCTTCTTACCTTCCCTTCCATTCAGATCCACCCATTTTCTGTCTCACATTAGAAAACAAACAGGCATCTAATAGATAATAATAAAATATAAGATAAATAAAAAACCCATCCAAATGGGGCAAAACAAACAGAAGGCAAAGAGCACAAGAAACACTTGCAGATGCAGAGACATACATGCTCGCACTCATAGGAATCCACTGAAACCCATAATATATATGCAAAAGACCTGTAAGATTAAAAAAAAGCTCTGGCATAACATTATGATACAGGGAACCTCCAATGATGTCATTGAATTTATTTTATGTTGGCTATCCACTTCTGGGCATGAAGCCCTTAAGAGTAGCTACTTCTCCAGGGAGATTCCCTTGGAGAAAACTAAGTTTTTCATTTGCTGGTGGTTATTAGCTGAAGACAGCTCCTGAGTCAGGCATATAACCACTTCTTCTCTCAGCACTTGGACCCATCTGATGCATACCAATGTAGGACCTATACATGATGCCTCACTCTTTGGGAGTTCATATGTGCATTGGTTCTGCTGTGTTTAGAAGACCTTGTTTCCTTGGTGTCCTCCATACTTCCTGGCTCCTATACTCTTTAAAAAAGACTATTTATTTTTTTATTTACTTACTTACTTACTTATTTTCATTTTATATGTATGGGTGTTGCCTGCATATATGTCTGTGTACCACATGCCTACAGAGTTCTTCATATCTTCTGGAACTAGAATTATAGATGGTAATGTGTCATGATGGGGGTACTGGAACTCAAACCTGGATCCTCTGGAAGATCAGTCAGGGCTCTTAACCACTGAGCCATCTTTGCAGCCCCATCTTACAATCTTTTAGCCATCTCTTCCATGGGATTCCCTGAGCCTTAAGGGGAGGGATTTGAGAGAGACATCCAGTTTAGGGATGGGTGTTCTAAGGTTTCTCAGT